TTTCTTTTTGAGAATAAATTATTATAAAAAAAAATATCATTACTAGAAAAATCATGTTTTCCAAATAATTTTAATAAGAAAATCATCTTTGAGCTATTAATAAAAAATGTTTATTTAATAAAAAAAATATATAGTTTCATAAGCCTATTTTATTTATTTTATTAATAAAATCTTTCAAAATAAGTTAATTTCAATCATTATAAATTTTTGCAAAATAATCTGCAAAGACATATGAATGAAATTTTATTAAAAATTAGGCTTATTTTATAAATATTTGTCTGTTTAAGTTGAAATTTGATATATGAACTCTTGAAACTAATCTATACCAACTTAATTATTATCATACAGAATGTTTCATTCAAATATAATCTTCAAATTAATGTAAATAGTTCTGTTAACATTAAAAAGAAAATTCATATATGTGTTTTCAAATAAAAAAAATAAGATATCTTCATAAATTTTCAATTAAATGATTTGAAATTTTCAGAAAAAAATTTTATTGATATGCTCTATCAATTATATTAATACAACTCAGAAAGTTTAAAATTAGGATAAAAAATTATGAGATCAAACAATCATTGTTTTCATCAAAAATACAAATTTATATATAAAACTAAAATAAAAATTGTTAATATCTCAATAAATATTAACTTAATTATTATAAAAATTTATATTCTAATAGAATAATATCTTCTTTATAAGTTTAATTAAAAGCATAAAATAGGTTTTAAACCAAAAAAATAAATCTGAAAATGATTTAAATTAAGAATTTAGTTCTATACACAGTAAATTATTTATAAAACAATGAAAATATAATTTTCTTTTCAAAAATAAAGTTTAGTTAGATAATTTGAAATTACTATGGATTTCAATAATACTAAAAGTTAAAAAATTTCCTTTTAAAGAATTAGATAATTTAAAGTTTACTGTACATTATTAAAAAAATATATATATAAATAATAAGAAGAAATAACAAAAATAGAAAAATAAAAACAAAAACAAAAACAGATAGTTAAAAAAAAAAAACCCAACAAAAAAATGTTAATAAATTTAGAAAATCATAGGTTCTTTCATATTATGTCTACAGATTACTATTGTATTCCATGTTTAGAAAAGTTCAAAAATAAAAAAAATATTACTGAAAAAGAGAAACAAGAATGTGAAGAAGAATATACATTTACTGCTAAAGTGTCAATATGTAATAATTGTCAAAAAAAACATTGGAGATACAAAGTTTTATCATATTCTCAATATCGTAAATTGAATAAATATAATAAAATAAAGTGTTCTGTATATAAGAAAGATAAGATGAAATGTCAATGCATTTTATCCAAGACACAAGAAGAATTTAATATATTAGAAAAAGAAGTATTAATTTATATTTCTGGATAATACAAACTTACAAAAACTGAAAAATTTTATAAATAAGCATACTTTTAATTTGATAAGCATAAAACTAAAACAAATGTAAAATATTTATTTAGACATAGGACTATGAATTTTTTCAAATTCTTAAACAGTGATTCTGATCAGAATAAAAATTATAGTCAGAAAAAATGAAATCAATATAAGAATCCAAAACATAAAAAAATATTATTTTGATTTTCAAATAAAAGAGAAGTTCTGTAATGTATATAATAAAAACTGTATAAAGATAAGAACTTTAGCATGATGGAAAGTCATAAAATTAATGAGTAAAAAAAATAAATTTTGGGCCTTTGGAAATTATCAAAATCTGATAATTGCAAATAAATTAAAAAGTTCTAATGAGATTAATGAGAAATAATTAAAAGATATTAAAAAAATTGAGTATATTGTTAAGAATAATTTAACAATAAAAGATGTTTTAAAAAATAAAAAGGATTTATTACTAAAAAGTTGACTCAGAAATTTAAAAAATTTAGAGTATTTGATTAAGAAAAAAAAAGAGTTAAGAGAAATTGAAGTAAAAAGATTTTAGGGATTCTGCTATATTATCTTTATAAAGATGATGGCTCTGAAAAGAGCAGTTTGGTTTATTATTTATTTAGAAGTAAAATATATTTAAAATAACAGAAACAGAAAAGTAGATCAAATTGGTAGAATGGTAAAAAAAGCAAAAAATAGTACTTATTGATGAATAGTATACAGTAATTGAATAGAATGATATTGTCAAGTTGTTAAATAATACTAATGAAAGTGTTAAAATAAAACATAAAGGTTTTTTGAAGTTTCTTGCTAAATATATTTTTTTAATATCAAGAAAGGTACTAAAAGATGCTTTTAATTTTGAAAATAAAGAAACTATAGTTAATAATACAACTGTTTACTGAAATTAGTAACAATTTCAACAAAGATTAAATTTTGTAATTGAATTATAAAATAATTTCTTAGCAGAAACTATATAAATTATATTTCATAAAGAAAATGAAAAGGATTTTAGAAATATGCAATAAGATATTGGTTTGGTAAGAGAGAATTTATCTAATGAACAAATAATTGAAAAATACAAATTATCTAGTTTCAAAGATGTTGAACTCATTTTTAAGAATGATAAAGTTTATTAGTCTTATAATTTTCTATAATACAATAAAAACTACTTTAAAGACTATTCTAAAATAAAAGAGTTATATTAGTATAAATGTGAATTAGAGAATTCAGATGAAATTATTATTAAAAAAAATACTATAATTTATATATGAATAAATGTGATTTAGATGATTCTCAATATACAAAAGAGAAAAAATTAAAAAACAAAGCCAATAGAAAAAAGAAAAACTGAACTCCAATTAGAGAAATCTGTTAAAAAATTCAATTATAATTTTTATTATTTTAATAAAATAAATATTAAAACTTTATAAAATTATAATTTATAAGAAATTTTATTAAAAAAATATATAAAATCATTATATAAAACTACATATTTTTTAATGAAATACACATTTTTTATTAATGACTCAAAGTTGATTATTATAATAAAACTATATATAAAACATAATTTTTAGTATGACAATAATTTAAAAAAAAGAATTTATATAAAAATATAAAAAATGTTTTATCAAAAAATATTCCATTTTATGAATATTTATTCAATTAATTTGAAATTTTATATACAAAATTTTAAAATCATTTAAATCAATTTTATTATTATCATATAATAAATTTAATTTAGATGTTGTGATCAAATTTAGTATAATCATTTCTTGTAAAAATTAAAAAAAAAATTGTTATACCAAAAATTATAGTTTACAAAGAATTTTATTAAGACAATTATCTTTGTAGCATTAATAAAATTTATTTGTCTATTAAAAAAACTTATAGTTTTATAGAATGATTTTATATATTTAATTAGTAAATATTTTAAGGATAAGCTAATTTTGATCATTACAAATTTTAAAAATAGAATTTGCAAAGATATACAAATGAAGCTTCATCAAAAATCAAATCTATTTCATAAATATTAATCTGTTTGACTTGAAATTTAATATGTGAACTCTTAATAATCATCTGTACCAACTTTATTATTATCATACAGTATATTTAATTTAGTTAATATAATCAAATTTAGTATAACTATTTCTTGTAAAAATTTAAAAAAAACTGTCATATCAAAAATCATAGTTTATGAAGAATTATTAAAACAATTATCTTTATAGCATTAATAAACATTATTCATCTAATAAAAAAATATATAGTTTCATAGAACTATTTTTATTGTTTTATTATTAAAATTTTCTAAAATAGGCTAATTTTGATTGTTACAAATCTTAATAAGAGGATCTGTAAAGATACAAATGAAATGAAATGAAAAAAAACATTATATCTCAACAAATATTGATTCAATCCTTCAGAAAGTTTACAAACTAAAAGAATGATAATGTTTTTTCAAGTTTACTTAAAGTTTTAAAAGAGGTTTAGAAGTAGAAATATAATTTGCAGAAGATGAATCATTAAAAATTTCTTTTTTTGAAATTATTATATTTAATTAATAATAGTTTTTGTTTAGTTATATTTTTTTTTTAAGATACTTTTAAAATACATTTACTATTAAAATTTAGATTATATGCCAATTATTTAGATTAAATATAACTAACCAAAAACCACTACTAATATTAGTAATAGTTTTTGTTCAATTATATTTTTTTTTTAGAATACATTTAGAATACATTTATTAGTAAAATTTAGGTTATATATTGATCATTTAGGTTAAATATAACTGAACAAAAACTATCAGTCTATAGAAAAACTTGATAAAATTTAATTAGAAAATTTTTTTGTCAATCATTTTATATTGAGTAAGTTTTAATTAATATTTTTATCTGTAATATTACAGAATAGAAATACTAATTATATGTAATATAAACAAAATATTTAGATTATACTTTATATAGTTGTCCTAAACTTCCAATGTCAAGTAAAATCTAACTTAGATATTTAAGATTACAAATATATAAATCTAACTGATCAGCAAAAGACAGTTACTATAATACAAATATAATCTTCAAATTTCATCATAAGTGAAATTTGAACATTAAACCTGCCATTTAGAAGTTGATAACTTACCAACTACTCCAAGTCATCACTTTCTTAAAATCCTTTTGTCTCTCTTTGGGTTTGGAATTTAATAATAAATAATTTACTTTTTTTATATTATTTAAACCAGTATTAAATATTTGAAATTTTTTTGTTTTTTGAATACATAAGTGAATAATTTATATTTTTATAACCATTTTAATGTTTTTAATATAAAAAAAAAAAGAAAAATTATATATATTTTTTTATATATTATATAAGAATATAAATTATAAATTTTATGTTCTTGGTTCTCAAAAAAGAACGTAATTTTTAAAATACAATGTTCTCAAATTTTTTTAAATGTTCTTGAGAACACTGAGAATATTAGATATCCAACGCTGATTTAAATGACTTATTTCTTATTGAATATATTTTATAAAATAACAATACTTTAGCTACATTCATTAACTTACTACTTATATCTCAAAATATCCAATGCATGAAACATGACTAGGGCTCCAATATACTGTATATTTCAAAAACTAAATTACAATTACACCATTATAAGGACGACTTTGATGGAATGGCACATTGTTCATAACAAAGTTATTAATTAGTACTTGAAGTATTGCCAGATCCATCACCTGAAGAAAATGTTGCTGCATCATTTCAAGAAATAGATACGTTTATTGAAGAATTTATTTATTCAGGCAACCATATGGATATGAAAAGTGATGAGAGGCCTAAACATCAAGTCATATTAAGTTGTTGGAGGGCTGTGAAAGAAGCAAAGTAATGGCTAACTGCTTAAAAATGTTATTTATCGTTATTGCTTCATTTAATCCTATTCTAATCATTAATTATACAGCGCTCTCTTGGCCATAATATTGTTGAGAGCGCCAATGTCTAACTACTTTAGCTGATGTAATTTGCACATATTTTTAAATATCCGTCACTCATTTGTTTAAAACTATACTCTTATTGTTATTCTGTAGGAAGCAATACTTAATTATTAATAAGCTCGAGATGGAGGTGTATTTGAATAAAAATACCAACTTCCTCGGATATGATTTGTGCAATCTCAATATCAATAACTTGTCGAAGTGTTGGCCTTCCATTATGTATCTTGGCAATAGTTAGTAGCGAACCAAGCACTCAAAAACACTATTTGCACGGCCATGAAAACTTTACTAAACGTTGATTCCGTAAACTTCATCTGATGATCAACAAATTGATTAAAACTAAAGTTCATGCTTTTAATATTTTGAGAATGACATTTACGAATGCTAAATTAGAAGTTTTTTTTACCTTATGTTTCTGATGGATTTATATTGTTATGTATAGCAGTTTCAGTGATGATCGAACTTGTATCAGACACAGAAAGCATTTCAAATAGTAAATAGTAGCTTTGTCAATATAATTTTAAGCTTATAACTTCTATATAAGAAGTCTGAATAATAATCGATAAGTTAACATACGATAGAATACAATTCTATCCACTACTTAATGACTTATTATTGGGAGAATTGAGTCAAAAATGCTTTAACATTATTACTAAAGGGGAAGATGAAGATAACAACGAATTTGACGGTTTCAAAAGAGGTTAAAAGGTTGTTTTTATTGACTATCTAAAAAATAAATAAGTAAATAAAATATGATTATAAAAAATTGGATGCTTGTGTTTATTATACATCTTTTTTTCAAATATTACTTAATAAAACCAGTGTTATCTTCTAATCTGTAGAATATTTTAGGTAAAATTGTCTGAAAAATTAATACTAATACTTGGGAAAAGGTTTTATCTCATAGGAGGACTTCGTATGATTGGCTAACATTTTCTATTTAATTTTACATTGTTTATACAGTTTAAAGTACTTTTTTAAAAAAAATAAAACTGCAAATTTAATAAATCGTTCACCTTTTCTCTTTTTATTCTATTAAGTGTAGTTTTGTTTTTTTAAAAAAGTACTTTAAACTGTATAAATAATGTAAAATTAAATAGAAAATGTTAGCCAATCATACGAAAGTCCTCCTATGAGGCTTCATCTATATTATGGATTATCAGTTTGATAATTGAAATCCCGATGTGTGTCAACAGGAGGAACCGTCGATGTTACACGACTGATCCTTCACCCGGTGTGCAACATATAAAAAAATTATTTTACAGTATATGTTATGATTATAATCCCTCACCATTTTTATTATAATAAAAATGGTGTAGGATTATAATCATAACATGTACTAGCGGAATGATCTGGTATTGTAAAATAATTTTTTTATATGTTGCACACCGGGTGAAGGATCAGTCGTGTAACATCGATGATTTCTCCTGTTTTTCGACCTGATACCGTTTTTTTTACACAATAACGTTATTACACAAATTTCTGATGTGGTTAATGCTTTTCAAACCCAGATACATATTACGTCGTAATGTTATGAACAAATTTTTTTTAAATGCATAGTTCTCACTTGCCTCATTTAAATTTCACAGTTTTTAAATAACGTTATTAGAAATATACACCATGTCGTTAAATCATAGTTACGTTACATACTGTTATAACTCCATGAATTAAGCTTAGCGTTATTATGAGAAAATGCATAGACATAATTTAGAAATGATTGTCAAATTCTTCTTTTATTACGGGCTTGACGGTCAGCGATTATCAATTCATCCACTCTGTAAAAGATCAGAAAAGAAAAAAATTCAATAAAACTAGACAAAAAAAAAAAATAAAGAATAAAAATGCGAAAATTTTTTATTGAATTTGATTCACATCCAAATTTGGTTCACATTTTATAAAAAATACATACACTGTAGTATGGTGATAATTATTGTAATAGTTATTATTTCAATTTCAATTTATTCGACTTCTATTTCTGTACAATTATAAAATATTCTTATAAAAAAAACGAACAAATCAGATATAATTCGAGATGGTGATCGATATCTTTTTGATTTTTCCTATTGTAACGGTTGGTTGGGAGGGTAGCTCCAACCGCTACTAGAAGTTGTGTGGATTGAATGATACGAAATTTCTATGAGGCATGGCAATTTTATAGGGGCGGCTTAATGATGGTGTGAACTTAATGAACGAAAATCATTATGACTATTACTTTATGATGGGAAATGAGGTTCTTCTGTTTGTTAAAATAAATGCTTCACCTTTTATACACTTTGATAAATATGAAAATGAGCACATTCTGGAACATACTCTATGACATCAGAGGCGCCACGTTATCGTGTTAACCTCATGTCACTATGTACACTGCCTCATTCGAGGGCTCTAACACCAATTTAGTTAAATCATCAATTACACCAAAAAAAGTAACATCATAAAATTACTGTAATTCATTACACTACCATATCACAAGTTCACAAATAATAATAAACACAGTACAACTTTCACTCCCCACAGCTTAACTACATCTCTAATTTGAGTTGAAAATTATTTTTGTATAACGATAAATTAAAAATAAAGTTAGACAATTTTTGTAGAAGATTAACGCAAATGTATGCTATAAATAACAATGAAAAATTTATTTGATACTATTCATCATTGAAAATGAGTCAGACAAACACAGAACTCTATGAACATGGATGGAAATATCGAGATGGTATTGAGATAGAGAAGGACGTGCATAAGGCTTTTGAATATTATAAAAAATCTGCAGACATGGGATATGCAATTGCAAATAACGAAGTTGGATATTGTTATCAACATGGAATTGGAGTTGAAAAGGATGAACATAAGGCATTTATTTATTATCAAAAAACTGCAGAGATGGGTGATCCTATTGGAATAAATAATGTTGGATATTGTTATGAAGAAGGAATTGGAGTTGAAAAGAATAAGCATAAGGCATTCATTTATTATCAAAAATCTGCAGAGATAGGGAACGCTAGTGGAATGTATAATGTTGGATATTGTTATCATCATGGAATTGGAGTTGAAATGGATGAACATAAAACTTTCATTTATTATCAAAAATCTGCAGAGATGGGTGATGCATTTGCAACTAATGAAGTTAGATATTGTTATCAACATGGAATTGGAGTTAAAAAGGATGAATATAAGGCATTTATTTATTATCAAAAATCTACAGAGATGGGTAATTCTAAAGGTGCATGTAATGTTGGAAATTGTTATCTTGACGGAATTGGAGTTGAAAAGGATGAACAAAAGGCATCCATTTATTATCAAAAATCTGCAGAAATGGAAGATGCAATTGTAACTAACGAAGTTGGATATTGGTATGATAAAGGAATTGGAACTGAAAAGGATGACCATGAGACATTCATTTATTATCAAAAATCTGCAAATCTAGATGATAGTGGAACAAATAACGTTGGATATTGTTATGAAAAAGGAATTGGAGTTGAAAAGGATGAACATAAGGCATTCATTTATTATCAAAAATCTGCAGATATTGGGAATGCTAGTGGAATGAACAATCTTGGAGATTGTTATCAACATGGAATTGGAGTTGAAAAAGATGAACATAAGGCATTCATTTATTATCAAAGTTCTGCAGATATGGGAGATGATGCTGGAACATTTAATGTTGGAAAATGTTATCGGGATGGAATTGGAGTTGAAAAAGATAACGCTAAGGCGTTTATTTATTTCAAAAAATCTGCAGACATGGGTGAAGTTAGTGGAATGATACAAGTCGGAGACTGTTATAGAAAAGGAATAGGAGTAGTAAGAGACATACAACGGGCAAATCATTGGTACCGAAAGGGAAGAAATATAAAAAAGACAAACGCAGATGTACTACACGAAGGCTTAGATTATGATGAATTAAAGAATATGTTAAATAATGAAATGTACAAACTAACGTGGATTCCTTATAACGAATTTACGAACGTAAGGGAAATTGGAAAAGGAGGATTTGCAACTGTACATTTTGCAAATTGGTTTGATAAAAATGAATGTATACGAAGGGAAGTCGCATTAAAATTAATTCATAATTCAAATAAATATAGCCAAGAATTGGTTGACGAGGTAATATTATTTAATTAATTTGATTATTTTTATTTTGTTATTTTAAGCCATTTAAGTGATTTAATTATCAAATAGTTAAAAAAGTTTAGTGATATTGGATATGAAAATCCATCGTTTTTAAAATGTTACGGAGTATCAAAGGATCCAATTTCAAATGATTATGTTATAGTTTTGGAGTATGCAAAGGAAGGATCTTTGCGCGAAAACCTTTCTAAAGTTGCGGAAATGAATTGGAAAAAAAAGTTAAATTTGCTATATTGTGTGGCTTCGGATCTTGAATCCATTCACTCTCAGGAATTAATCCATAGAGATTTGCACTCTGGAAATATCCTGCAAGATCTTTTGCATAATGCGTACGTCACAGATCTGGGACTTTCAACATCTTCTGATATCAAGCAGAATGGTGAGATTCATGGAGTCTTGCCATATATAGCACCTGAGGTCTTGATGGGTCAACAATTCACCCAATCGGCTGATGTATACTCTTTCGGTGTTATAATGTCCGAGATATCTACTGGGAAAAAAGCATTTGATGGCGTTACTTTTGATACTAAACTTTCTTTAAAAATTTGTGATAAAAATGAACGACCAGAATTTGGAGAAGGAACTCCAGAATGCTATGTCGATTTGGCCAAGAGATGCATGGATTCTGATCCAAATAAACGACCAACAGCTACTATTATCAGCTCAAAAATCATCCATTGGCTCGATGAGATGGAATTAGATAAAGATAACGAGATCAAAAAACAATTCTTAGAAGCTGATAAGATAATACCAAAAATCGAATTGT